ATAAGGCTGCATTCATAATGGGTAGGATGGGGAGGGGGTAGGTGAAATTTAGGGGGATCGGGAAATTTTGGTAGGAAAAAGGGGGGGATGGGAAAATTTTTATAAGAAAAATGGGGGGATGCACAATTTTTGGAAGAAGCTACGAGCATTGCTTACTGCTTAGGGGGGACCGTATTTTTTGCATGACTTTAAGGGGGTGTAACCCCACCATAACCCACCCCCCCCCACCCCCTACATGGTAGAGGTAACAATTACATAACCCCCCTTTCATCACCCTGCAATAGTTCTCAACACCCTAAATATGTGGTAAGCTGTCCTTACTGCTTTCTCAAAATAACGTAACCCCTTCCCCCTATGATATTGCCGATCCCCTCCCCATTATGCGCTAATAAATGAAAGCCCCCTTACTGGTAAATCAATTATACATTCAATCGTCATGACGTCAAAACAGGAAGCCATTTTATAATTTTCAAGTTTTTTTTGTCGGTAAGAATTCATTCACTAGTAATATTGTTATTATCATTATTCTTTAATCTTTTTAGGTTCTGGAAGGCAACACAGACAGCGTCACCGCCGTGAAGAGAAAACTTGATCCAAAAATAAAAGCTCGGTATGTTCGATTCTGGCCCACTGCCTGGTTCCAGTGGCCTTCCCTGAGAGTCGAGATCTATGGCAGACCTGCACCACCAGGTGAAAATAATAAATTATAAATATATAGAGGATATTACATGGGCGCTTGAAGATACGAAATTTATCTTCGAGTGTTGAAAAGATCTCTCACGAGCGATATAAAACGTCCGCTTGTGTCTATATACTGTGATGTAAACACTCTGGGAGCTGTAGAGCACTCGAGAAGTCAAAGGAACACTCGGCTATGCCTCGTGTTTCTCTACGACTTCTCTCTTGCTCTACAGCTTCCATCGTGTTTATGTCACAGTAAATAGACACGCGCGCCGTTTTACAAGCTTTTTATTAAATACACGTGGTAACGATATTTTCACATGTGAAAATATTAGTTTTTCGAAACGGAGAAATATAGGTATTTTATGGATAATTATATGATAAAAAATAATAATATTATAAAATGTATCGGCATAGTAATGCTGTTTACATGCAATGATGACAAGTGCTTACATACGAGAAACGCTTAAAAAAGCATAAAATTGAAATCATACAGCGAAGTCACTAGATTTATTGTTCAAGTGTAAAAATATATTAGTAGCAGTATTAATAACACAAGTGAATTTAATAAATCAAGAAGGGAGAGTTTTTTCTGTCTTTCTATTTATCTCTGCAAGCGGCACAAATCGACAAACGATCGTGTGCACGCGCGCGTCATATTCACTTGTGCCCGGTTGTACGAAGGGTGGATAGCGCTATTCGACCGATAAATCATATCCAGTGGATAAATTTATAGGATAACAGAATCAACTTATCCACTGGATAAGGATTTATCCATCAGATAGTGATATCCAGGCTTCGTACAACCGGGTCCTTTAGGTGAATATAACTGAGCATACGACTTTTAAATTAAGAAAAATTGCCCTATTTCACTATGACGTCACATCAAAACAATCTATTGCTTAAACGCAAAGGATCATGGTCGTCGGAGGGGGTCAAATCAACGCAAATTCACCGAAAATTGTTCTAAAACCCGTATCAATCCACGAAGAGAAGCAGAATAGCCAGCAAACGCTCAGAATATTTTTTGATTTCATATTAACACATATTATATCTGAAAACCAGGCCATTTCAGATTAAACTGTTTCACTAGGAACAAATTTTGTTGAATTTTCTATTGGATTTGGCGATTCTATCCCCCACATAAACAAGCAGTGACGTCATAGTAAAGTAGGGCAATTGACAATGAGGATTTATTATTATATTTACTTGTGTAAAAATAGTTTTATCTATATTCAAGTGTAAACATTATAATTTATACACTTGAGTAATAAATCTAGTGACTTTGATGTATGATTTGAATTTGATATTTTTGAGCGTGTTTTCTGAGTCCCCAAAACACCGTGGTAACATATTATATCGATCAGTGTTGGAGTCGTGATTCTCACTACCGGGAAATATTAAAGATGAATGATTCAAGAATTATAATGAAATTTGAAAAGCTGCACGAGATCTAGAGAATGAATATAACTGTTCATGTTATCTCACATTTCTCATCTTCCTATTTTCCATTTCCCATTTACTTCAAATAAAATTGGAAATAAAATGGGAAAGAACCAATTTTCCATTTAAGGAAAACTATTTTTGTCTAATTTACCTGCCCAACACTTGTAATTATTCTAGTAGCCTCAAATTTCATTTTTTTAAACTAACTAACCAGTTGCTATCAGTGAAAATGGATGTATATTTTCAATTACAAATTCTAGGAGCGAAAATTAAGGTTAATTGTTCAACAAGACAAGGGCCGGAAATCCTTATTTCAATTTTTGAAGGATAAGCATTATAATATTTCATATACGATGCCTATCCATTTTTGGTTGGCGAGGAATTTTAATAGCACTGTTTCCCGTTTAAGAAAACCACTTATTTAAACAGTTACAACTACAATTACAATAGTATCGTAACAGTTACATTAGGGAAAAGGGATAGGGTAGGGGACTGAAGTTGTGGAGGGCAGAAGCAACCAAGGGGAGGGACATCAAATATTTACATGATGAAAGGGAATCCCTGGTAATTAGCAGTTTATTATTATTATTACTATTATAATAATAATACTTATTATTATTATTATTATTAGTTTATTAGTTTATTATTTTATTAGTGAAGTATTGGAGAGCCATTTCAAAATACCAAAGCTAAACTGGACGGTTAACAAGTTGGGCACGCATTTGTTTACGGCTATTCCTCTGGCCCTCCCTCCCTCCCTTCGTAAAAAAATGCCCCTTTAGTAGAAATCGGCCATACTTTACAGTAAAGACACTCGAACCATGAACACTTGACTTTCTTCAGATTTTTATTTTCTGAGCTTTTTACTGCTTCAAACCCTCTAAAAAAGTAGGATTGAACTCAAATATGCTATGTGATCAAAAGACAACTTATTTCTAAATGATTCACTCTAGGGATGCATGTTAAAAAAAGGAGTAAAAAAAGCACAAAGTGTTCATGGTAAGAGTGTCCTCACTGCAAAAAAAAAAAAAAAAAAAAAATTTCGGCGTGGAATTCGCATACACAGGGTTCGTATGTTTATGAAAATTGCAGTAATTGGTTACCTTCGCAAAGTCTTAAGATGACTTTTAGAAAAATTACTTAGTAAGATGTGTGTATGTCTCAAGTTTCACTAATAACTGATATCACAAGTAATTGTATTCAGTGCCTTAATTGTAAGTCGGGTTTGAAGATCTCTTAGGAGGCTCACGTGTGTCTGCGAGATGAATCAATGAAATAAGTAGCCTAGTACGCTTTCTTTAAACTCAGGGTAGGTATGTATGTAAAACAGTTATTACTGAGTTGAAAACTTGGGAATCAAGGGTGATGTATTCTTAGTGTATCCGCATAACGTCTCTATAACGAGCTAAATAAATTCCAATTTCCTCGTCAATTAAGGATATTTTCACTTCTACAAATAACGTTGATAATATCCTTTGACTGTTGCCTAGCGATAAGGATTCATGTTTTTGCTGATCGCAATTCGAAGATTAATTTTTAATAAAAATGTCGGCACCTAGATCAACCACGATGTTAAACAAATATCCAACCGCAAAACCACCAGATATAAATTATGGAAATTCCTATCCAGCTGATCAGCCAATCACAATCGAGAAAATTTGCAAAACTGAGGTTTCTTTGCAGTTAGTAGCCTAGGAGGAGATAGGAGATAGGTCATTCAAAGATCCGACAATAGCTGGAATGACTTGTGTTTCTGCTTCTTATTCTCGTCAAGAACATGGACCTTAGTGTTGAGACTGATTCAATGTTGTTCGTATTCAACGAAACCATTTCCATGTGAATGACCAATCGCCTATCGCCTTTGGCAATGACAACGTTTTTTGAAATAGGCGTATTTTTATCTTGGTCATACCTGCTTAGTTCCTTGCGCCTTTCATTAATAATATAATAATAATAATAATATATGGCTTATATAGCGCTTATACAAGTCTGTTCTAAGCGCTTAGTAGTAACATAACGTTAAAGGAATAAATAAATAAGATAGATAATATGATTTTAAAGAAAAAGCTAACTTAAATAAATGAGTCTTGAGTTTAGATTTGAATAAAGATAAACTGGAAATATCTCTAATTGAAGAAGGTAGAGAGTTCCAGAGGAGCGGAGCAGCAACTGAGAAAGAACGTAGACCATATGACTTGAGATTATAAGATTTTGAAGACAGCAACAAGTGAGTGACAGAGTAAACCCGAGAGATTAGGACAGTGAAGAAGGAGCAGCTAACATTTGAATTCATTCAAAATGAAACTCAATACTTATCCATCTATCGTAACCTAGGATTTGTTTATTTTATTTTAAGGCCCTGATAAGATTCTAATGCTTTTGTTTTAGACAGTCATTTTGGCAAAAGCCGTCCCGAGGGTCGTATTACGTCTATTACTAGTGATCTCATCTTTCCGAACCAAACAAAATATGTCTAATTACTACCAAAATTTAATAATATTATTAGCAGGAGGCCGTTTATCAAAATATTTCATTTCTATTCTTAGACGTAAAATTTTCATATCTCGTGTCCGATTAGGAGGGATGGGGGAAGGGGAAGGAAGGTTTGAGAAGGAGAAATAAGAGCATGGGAGGGGAGGTAGAAGTGTGTTGCCTGGTACGGTTTCCATGTAGTTGGGCGAGATCTCGAATTTTAACTTTCTATTTTGTTTTAAAAAATTACTTTAATCCAGAAATTCGTCTCTCTTATGTCATCAATTCTGAAAATCTAWTTTTTTTTCTTCTTCTTCTCCTACAGAAATTATGGTAGAAAATGGAGAAACCGTTATTACTTTCGAGGCAAAAGAGAAACGGTCGGTGGAAGAGAAAGAATTGAAACATGAGTTGGAACATGAAGAAGAAGTGAATGAGACAAAAGAAAAGATAGAAGATCAGGAAAAGCTGTCACTTGACGAAAATGAACCAGAAGAAAAGATGAGACGAGGCCAAGAGGTGAAAGATTTTCAACAAGTAGAAATTGAAATCAAAGGATCGGATGGTGGCAGCGGCAGCGAGGGTCAATTGGAACAGGACGAACTGGCCAATGATGACGAGACGGAAACCCTGGAGAAGATCTTTGAGAGCCTCGACACCAGCACACCTGCCAAACCAAACGGTATAGTAAACAATCAGACGGACAAAAACTTAGAAAGAGAAGAAGGCGGTGATGGTAGTTTGAAACGACTCATGGAGGTCAAAACTAAGCTCGTGTTCGAAGCAGAAGCGAGGAAACTTCGCGAGGAGCAGATAGTAGAGATGAGGAGAAAGAAAAAGAAGAAAGTAACGCTAGATTATGAGACTCCCGACTACTTTTACGTCCCACGACGGGTCTATAACGGTAAATACGTTTTGAATGCTTTTTACTTTATGAATATTGGGATTAAAATGTATGTGTATGTGTGAGATATTTAACAGTTAGCGCTAGTGGTATTCCCTGWATCAGATCCACGGTTCATACTCGACAACACAAGATACATATGGTTAGAAGGATTTAATTAATTCTAGTTTGTTGAGCTCGACGGCAAACGACGCGATGGAATCAAAATTATAAAAAATGACATTTCTCTTGTTCTCTTTGACAGTTCTCACTTTATTCAACTGTTTTTATTTTTTCACGGAAGCTAGGCAAATACTCAACCAAATTAAGCGATATTGAAGTAAAACAGGACAGGGAAAAATATAAGATGAATAAATATTTTCTTTTTTACAGAAGTGGATGTATAGTCTCTCTGTCGTATGCTAGTTTCTCACGCAGAGATGCCTGCAAATTTGCATAGACGATTATTTCTCCGATAACACCTTTATAACGAAAATGCCCTTTGTACGCCGTTGTTTTGTCTTTACGAGCAAGGTTTTTCTGTACGAAGCAAGATAATCATTAATCCCTCACTGGTTTGGTTCTAAAAGTCGAGGCCCAAGTGAATAATTATGACTTTCGAATTCTCGCCACACAAGTCGATCGCGATGGTCCATTTTAATGGGGATTTTATGTTTTTGTGGATTCTCATTGAATTGGATTGAGACAATTTATCGTGGTTATCACTATGACTCCGTTTGAACAAAAAACAATATCATAGCAAATAATACGGTGATCAAAATGAAAATAATGATAACTATGAAGACTCCTTATGCTATAACATTGGTTGAACGCTCGGCTGGACATTTTTCTGGATTTATTTTTCGTTTCGTTTCGTTTGCTAAATACGAAGTATATCTTAATTCTTCAGTTTCAGCCATCAAATATCAGAAAACCTTATTTTAGCTGACTTTTCTCGAGATAAGAAGGCAAAAATATTCACTGTTCCGCTGCTATGTTTCGGCATGAAATTTCTATCTTGGCTTTTTTTCTGTTCATCTTTTTCTATCTATTTGGCTTTTCCTTTAACCTTATTTTTTATTATCCTAATTTCTAGTCGAAGGTCGTCAAATGATATTTTTATTTCACCTTTTAGAACCGAAAACATTAAAAATCTACCATGCTAAGACTGACGAAGAATTCCACTTTTACATCGTGAAATGAGTGAGGCACTTTAGTATTTGCCTCGTACGTATTATATTCACACTTGGAACAAACATAGTTTCGAAATGAGTTTATGCTTTTAGTTTCTCTGTATAATTGTTGACTGTAAACGGTGTGGATATCCATCTGTGTTCCGTTCAGTGCATCAAATATATTGAAATGTCATTTAGTTTCGCAAGGGAAGTCTTCGAGGGCAGCATTATAATAATCAGGACTAATCCCCGATATGACTTGAGATATTCTTGAGTCACTTCTTAAATCTCCTCACTCAGTCAAGTATTGGTCCTTGAAACTAAATATGAGTCAGGAACTCAATCGTGGATTGAATGTGGCTTTATTTTTTTCCTTTCTGTCGATAGTTGTGAGCCACATTGATTGTATTGCGATTATGCAGTATCAAAAGTTATCCTCTTCGCATTAGCGATAGATCTGTACTCCATTCTTTCCTCTTAGTTTCTTACAAATGATATTAATTTGACAACTCTTTCTCGTCAAGAAAGTTTCTTTGTTTTAAAGTATGCTTTGTTTATTTATACGGTTTTCAACACACGGTGTCGTGTGTTCACGAGTTGTTGCTTCCTATTCCCTTCCTGTTATTCGAGGGTTTTTTCCGGGCACGTTCCGCGTTTTTCTCCCTCCACGAAAATCAATTTCTAATAAATTACAATCGAAGTAGACTGAGTTCGTTGGATGAATAGCCACTTTGTGACAGACCAACAAAAATAATTATTACAGGAACTATGAATAGGAACAGTATCTTTATGTATGAGTATGCCATTTCCTCATCAGACAAGAGGTTGTTTCAGAGTTTGATA